TTTTTTTTGTATGAATTCCAAGTAATTGTCTTGTTTTACTGCAAGAGGCTTATTTTTCCAGATACTTAATAAATAGTGAGGAAGAGGAAAGATGCTGCATGCTCAGCAAATAAAATACAGTGGGAACTCTTAAATATAAGGCCACCTGGAAGCTGTAGGCAGCACATGTGCAATACATAGAGGACTCCAGCTACTGTATAATAAAGACTAAGTGATTGTGATTTATTTCTTCCTATATTTATATTATTAAATGAATTTAATATCGAATGTGTGAGAAATATCCAGGACATACCTTATTACTGATCCTATATGGACTTGCTCTTAGAKTTGATCATATGTGAATCCTAATTCTGTTGAGCTAAAACATGTGTTTGATATTTCCAATTACAAGCTCAGCTTCATCTCACTGCYGAAGAAAGGGTTACTTTTGATTCATGCTCTAGATGGGGATTTAGAAAATTAGACGTTAAATGTTTTTGTTGTGTTCCAGACAAGCTGCATAAATTTGAGAAAATAATTTATACCCCTCTATTCCTAATGCATATAATTTGTAAAAGTGTGGAAAGCCTGGTATTTTCATAGCTGACAAAGCCATCACCATGTGGGGCTCAAATTCCCTGGTGACTGACACCACAAAAAAAATGGATTTGTAACTTAGGAATCCTGTCCTTCAGAGCACTGAAATATCCTGGACAGAGTGAAACAAAACATTTTAAAAGACAATTGTTCAGTCTGTGGGAACAGAAGAGTTACCTTGTACTATGTTATCCTGGACCTTAGGTATCCAGCTGTGTATAACTGAATCTTTTCCAGTTCCACTTGGACCCAAACCACTGTGTAAAAATGGGATTAAATAAACAACTAATATGTATACATTGCTTCCACCTCTTTTTTTTTTTTTCCCAATGGAATTTTGGATGCTATGATTTTTTTTTTTCTTTTAGTGCAAGATTCTATTGAGTTTAAATTATTGGGAATGTTAAATTGGGATGTTAGAAGAGCTTTCTGTTGCTGTCAATATGTTGATTGAGATACTAAATTGGGTGTGATCCATCCTGAACTGAAATTACAGAATATTCATTTCTATAGCACTTCGGAAGAATGATCTAATATTTTCTCAGAAATTCTAGATTATCAGTGAAATTTCAGATGATTTTAAAAAACTTATTTCCAGAAAAATTTTAATCCTAGCAAAAATTATAGATACTAATTCTGATTTAAATATGGTTCTACTTCATTTCAACTTCTACAAGATACTTGCTAAACCCACTGGATTTCTCTTWGAGCACTTGCCCTTTAGAACATTTTGATACAGATCCCTGGTATATTGCTGAAATAGTGAGAGGAGGAAAGGGGGTTTGGGTAGTCATTGGAAGTAGGAGTTAACACCMCATAAAAGTGGTTCTCAGAGGGAGAAGGAAGGAAAGAACATAACACAGATTAGAGGGCRGTGTAGGTTTGACTTAGCAATCTTATAAAATTTGAAGAAGTTACGGGGCAGTTTCCACACTTACGGCGTGTATTACACTTAACATTTTTCAAAGCTGTCCTCCTGTTCTGAGCCAGAATTTATGATAATGAAGAATAATTGTCTCTTCAATCATGTTTCCCCCTCTAGCTTCATCTTGCATGATTTCTCTTTCAACTAAAGATAATTCAAAGTTCACACAGCTCTTTTCTGGGAATCATTACGAAGAAAACGTGACAAATCAGAATGTAAGTTTGTTTTATCATT